CTGCCCTCCCCCTGATCTACAGGCGAGGTGGTTCTAGATTGCCCTCCCCCTGATCTACAGGCGAGGTGGTTCTAGACTGCCCTCCCCCTGATCTGCAGGCAAGGTGGTTCTAGACTGCCCTCCCCCTGATCTGCAGGCGAGGTGGTTCTAGACTGCTCTCGCCTCCCCCCCCCTCAGGCTTGAAGGAAGATGATAGAAAACAATGCGGTCCCTTTCCTTGTTTGGAGCTCTGCTCTGCTCCTGCCTGGGTGGCTGTCCCCACACCCAGCTCGGCCCTGGGCTCCAGCCGCCTGCGGTCAGCTCCAGGGAGGCGCCCTTGGCATGCAGGGTGAAGATGAGCTTGCTCTTTGTGGTGGGGAAAGGTGTCTGTGAAGAGGGAGCTGCGTGGGCAAACCCTGGCCGTGTGTGTGGTGTCCCAGAGGTGGGGGGAAGGGGTGGAGGGTGCCGAGGCAGGGGGCTGCCTTGGTTCTGAGCGGGAATGATGGACAGAGAGCCCAGGCGAGTGGGGAGAGCCCCGAGGGGTCTGTACATGGCCGGAGCCGAGGCCAGGGATCCGGGGACACCTGCCGCCGCACGCAAGGAGCGGGGAGTGGGGGCGGGGCTGGACAGGCCCCGGGATCCAGTCCAACCGGTCACTGTTGCCTTTGCCAGCAGCTCCGTGCTGCGCCCGCCGTGACCCAGGGCCTAGAGCCAGGGTGTCAGAGGCTGGCGGGCCGGCTTCTCTCACCCTGTCCCCCCCGCCTCCCCTCTGATCCTCCTTCCCATCTCCCCTCGCCTCCAGTCCACTGCCCACCTCGAGTGTGGCCACGGCTCAGCCCAGGACACAGGGGTCCCTCCACCTCTTTGGGCAGCTGATGGGTCCCCCAGCGAGGGTGGTGGCTGAGACAGGGCGCCTCACTGGTATTGAGGTGTCAGCACTAACAGCTGGCTACGGCGGGCCAGGTCACCGCTGGCCTCCACTGTGTCCATCCTCCATCGCTCTCCACCTGGCAGCCAGATGGACTTGGTGGAGCTCTCCTGACACAGGGACCCTATACCCATCTTCCTTAACCTGATGCAGGTACTACCCTCTCTGCAGCCAGGAGGCCTCTCTTATTTTGGAGTGTGACACCATCCAAAGAATGAAATTGAGGGGCTGGGAAGGTGGCTCAGTGGTAGAGCGCTTGCCTCACATGCATGAGGCCCTGGGTTCGACTCCTCAGCACCACATAAGCAGAAAAGGCTGGAAGTGGCTCTGTGGCTCAAGGGGTAGAGCACTAGCCTTGAGCGGAAGAGCTGAGGGACAGCGTCCAGACCCAGAGTTCAGGCCCCACCACCAACCAAAAAAAAAAAAGGAAGTTGCATTTGTGGGGCCTTGGAGGAGCCCCCAGTAGAGCAGCGTGCCACCACCCGCGCCCCACCTGCCGTCCTCCCCACCTCGTCCTCCGCCCACCCCGGCTTTGCAGGCCCTGGGACCGTTCTGCCCCTCTAAGCTCACGTGCTCCCCTGGCCTGGAAGGGCTGGCCCTGCCACCGCGCGGGGAGCATGAGGGACTCACCCTGCCCAGACAGGAGAGCTGGTGGCACCCTGCGTCCCCGCCACTGTCCTGGGCCCCCGGAGGCGCCCCTCCCAGGCTCTGTCCCCGGGACAGCTCCCTGTTTTTCCTTCTCTCTTAAGCCTGCATGTCCCCGTGTGACCCCCGTCCCCCTAGCCAAGAACACCAGCCTCCCAGCCAGCTGTGGCTCCTGCAGCACCCTTTCTGCTGACTGCAGCCCCCCACCCCGCCCCTGCCAGGAAGCTCAAGGTGGGACCCGCCCCAGGCCTGGGGCAGAGACCCTGTCACCCCTGCAGCTCTGCGGGCAGGCGGCCAGGCCCAGCCCCGATGCCGGCTCCGACTCCCAGACGCTGAGCTCCCGCTGGAGTCTCCCACAGATCCTCTAAGGCAGGCACCGCCCGTCCGTCTTGCAGGCAGGGCTGAGGTCAAGGTTCCCAACCCAGGTGCAGCCAGATCCCCTCTACCCGGGGCCTAGGAACATGCACTGGAGCCAGTCCTTGGCCAGCAGCTCCAGGAGGGTTCATGCTCAGCCTGGCCTGGGCCGCACTGGCTCCTCTGGCTCTGAACTTCCAGGCCCAGCTCGGCAAAGCCCGCACCCCGGAAGGGGCCCGAGGCCCACCTGCCGTGCCCATCCCAGTGAGGTTCCCTCACGGGGCCTTCATGGCAGCCACAGGCCGCCCAGGCCCCACAGTCCTGCCCTCCTCCTGCAGGAAGCCCTCCAGCCAGGCCCGGGTCAGATCAGCTGACCCCTGGGCTCCATCCAGTTCCACTTGGATGGATTACCTACCAGGACCCACAGACACCATTATGAGGGCTGGCAGGTGGCAGCCGTTCTGTGAGCACTGCCGTCTGTCTCTGCAACCCTCACTGTCCACGCATGCAGTGTCCACCCCTAGCCGGCACGTAGGTTTGTCTTCACCCTCCTCCTCCAGCCTACAAGGCGCGCAAGTGCATTGTCTCGCCAGTGGTCAGGCGTCAGGCGAGGAGGGTGCCGCTGGAGTCCCTGGTGCCCTGAGGAGGAAACTGAGGCCCAAAGGACAGGAGCTCGGCGAGGTCTGGGGACCCTGAGCAGCCAGGTGCCTGCGGTGCACACCCTAGACTCGGAGGGTGGTGGGCTGCTCTTGGCAAGGAGGGACCCCGGCACCCGGCAGTCTGCACCTCTGTAGCAATTTGAGGTGCCCAGCGCGGCTCGGGGTCACTCGCTGTCCCGCTCAGACCTGAGTTTGGGGAAAGCACCCAGAGCCAGCGCCTGGCCCCCGGTCAGAGCTCCGGGAAGTTCAGCTGGACGGGAAAGGTCCTTGCTGGCTCTGTCCTCTTCCTGTGTCCCAGCTGTGCCCTCTCCTCTCTTGGGGTGTTGGGCGGGGGTGAGGGGAAGAGACACCTGGCCGTAGCTGCTTTTATCTGTGTCGAGATCCCGCAAACCAGAGACTCTGGAGCCTCCCCATGTCAGTTTAATTCATTCAGAAAGAAAATAAATTCAAGAGCCAGCCACAGAGTCTGCGGCTGCCATGGACTGTGGAGCAGCCATAGCCTGGAGCGGCTGTGGCCTGTGGAGCGGCCGTGGCCTGTGGAGCGGCCGTGGCCTATGGAGCGGCCGTGGCCTGGAGCGGCCGTGGACTGTGGAGCGGCCGTGGCCTATGGAGTGGCCGTGGCCTGGAGCAGCCGTGGCCTGTGGAGCAGCTGTGGCCTGTGGAGTAGCCGTGGCCTGTGGAGTGGTCATGGTCTGGAGCAGCCATGGCCTGGAGCGGCTGTGGACTGTGGAAAAGCTGTGGCCTGGAGTAGCCATGGACTGTGGAGCGGCCGTGGCCTGGAGCAGCCGTGGACTGTGGAGCAGCTGTGGACTGTGGAGCGGCCGTGGACTGTGGAGCGGCTGTGGTTTGCAGGCGTTGGCTCCAGGCAGCCGTGGGTGTGGGTTGTCAACCTCACATGAGCAGCCGCTTCCTGGCCGGCTGCGGGGAGGGGGGTGGGCTCCCTGACTCAGGCTGACTCACCCCGGGGCCAGGCCGGCTTCCAGGACCCTGGGCTCCATTCCCAGAATGTGCCTGCTGGGCTGAGAACGGCCCTCGGCGGGGTAGAGGGGAGCGGGCCGCCTCCTGTCCTCCCCGCACCTGCCTCCGCCCCACCCCGCACTGCCCAGCACACAGGGCGCGGGTCAGGGGTCACACAAGCAAGTGGGGCTCAGCAACTCCATCTCGGGCACCCATGCCAGGGTAAGGACTGTTGCCCTGTGCACGGAATGGGGTGGGGGGTGGGAAACAGGACCCCAGCCTCCTGGATTCTACCCCCCCTGGCCGGCCTGCCCCCCCCCGGCAGGCC